TCTGTGTCATGTTGCTGCTGATCTGTTTCATGTTGCTGCTGATCTGTTTATCTGAGGTGGCTGTGGCTGAGTGGTTAGAGCAGTCGTCCTCCAATGCGAGAGTTGGGGGGTTCGAATCCACGAGCAGTCACATGTCGAAGTGTCCCTGGGCAAGACACTGAACCCCTCATAGCCTCTGATGTGTGTCCATCAGTGTATGAATGTGATAAAGCACTGATTAGTCCCTTTAGAATGATTTGTTCAATTAGCTTTGTAGTGATCTAGTATAGAGCTGTATGAATGGGTCGATGAGGACACAGATTGTAGTGTAAAGCACTTTGAGTGTCTTGAAATAAGATAGAAAGGAGCTCTATAAGTACAGTCCATTTACCATTTACATCAACAGCCACTCTTCAGCTCTTCTAGGAGGACCACAAGGCGTTCACAGACCAACTGACTATTTAATAAGTAATACTTTTATGTTTTTAAATTTAATGAAAGACAAATCTTTAAAATTTAAGGACAAATTTTAATCTAATTGTTTTCAAGTCTAGCTTATTGTAAAAGCAGTTTCAAAGATTACAGCACAGTGTGATGTTTTGCAATTTTAACATGAACCTTGTGCATATCTGTAAATAATAAAAGTGAAGATATTTTTAATACATCTTTATTGTAAAAATCTAAACTAAAATGTAAAACACATGGGTTTAAAGCAGGGAAGGCAGTAAAGTAGGATTATGAATTAGTAACAAAGTGCATGCTCAATAATCCAGGTATACAATCCAACATTTTTCAGTCAGGTCATTTGGACAGTTTCTTTTTTTGTGCTGAAACGTTTCGCCTTCCGTCCAGAAGGCTTCATCAGTCAAGGAAACACACAACAAAACTGATTCCTCCCCCAACAGCTTACTCCAAAGTGGAACAAACCAGTTCTGCTTGTGATAAGATGGTCTCTTTGGTACGCCACTCCTCCATTGCTGGACCTCTTCCTTCTTGACAGTCGTGTCAAACCGGTTGAAAACAACAAAATCCATGCTGAACTTGACTGATGAAGCCTTCCGGATTGAAGGCGAAATGTTCCAGCACAAAAAAAGAAATTGTCCAAATGACCTGACTGAAAAATGTTGGATTATGAATTATGTGTAAAAGTTACAGCTCGTGAGGTACTCCATTAGAGCATGTCATCTCTTCCACAACATCCTGTGGCAAAGCCTTCAAGGTGGTGTTCTTCTAATACGTTTAGTGGTGGCTAGTAGGAATGCACGATATATACGGTACACGGTAGAAACGATAGAGATCTGTCTTCTACCGGCTAACCGCAGTAATGCTGTGTCTGATGTAAAATCAGAGTTGTCAGTGTAATCCTGATGCATGTTCAAAAATCCAGGTAGAAAAATCCAAAAAAGTTCAATCTGGTCCTCTGGACATTGTTGGATTTGATATATTTTATATCTTTTTATATCTTTTGACAAGCCTTGACATTTCTCTGATGATGTGAAATGATGCATTTTCTACAAGGTGTGTGCGTGTCTGAATTCAAGGGTTTGAACTATATTTACAGGCCTGCATTAATTCTAAAGTGTTTAATATGTTTTATATATAATCTCACAATTGCTAAGGATAATCATACAAGTTCACATTTGATAAAATTCTGAGGGAAACGAAGACAGGTAAGACACTTGTTTGTGCAGAAGGAAACGATCCTTCTTTGTTCTCTGAGTAGAGCAGCTGAGAGTTGAGGGCCCAGCAATGTGACACACTGCTCACACATTGATTAACATAAATAACGCTAAAACACAACATTCATATACTTTATACTTAACACAGGTTGAGTATTTATGCTCTCACATTAATAATAGTTCAGACACACAGGAATTGTGTTTTAAAGCTTTATACAGACGAAAGCCAAACTACAAGCTGGAGAGTAAGTGTTCCTGCATTCCAAAACAAAGCTCGTAAATTAACCCTTATCAGTAGAAGAATGAGCAAGGCTGTCTGCGGCTTTCGGAGTAACCATGGAGATAGGATCTGCTCCTGAGTGGCTGAACATGGTGTCACTCGGACCATCAAGAGGTTTTGACACCCAATCACAAGTCTGTCCGAACCCGAAAGGGCGGGACGAGAAACCTATAAATCTCGCTCATAGACAGTTTGGTTGAACAAACATCAGGCTGATTGACCAGGCAAGGTTCGCTCTGACTTTGTTCCTCAGATTGCACTCCGATCACATGTAATATCTGCATACTTTAACTTTGTCTCAATTAAATATTTTATACTAAGGTGAAGTGCTCCTGAAATTCTGTGCTCGGGTCATTTGAACATCCCAAACTCTTCAGATGATGACCTCGACGTAATGACCTTCGAGCACACGAGGAGCGGTGAGATTCGACCCATGAGCAGAGCGGCCGTTCGCATCCAGAGGAGAGGCGCCTCACATAAATAACAGGTAAGCGGGTTACCTAAGTTGGCCGAAAGGCCCAAAAACTCCGCTATTCTGCCGTAAACCAAATTGAAGCCTCTGGGTGAGCATGGTGTGTTCTGTCTCCTGAAATAAAGGAGGATTAGCAGCTAAGGTGAATATAATAACTAAAGGCATTGAGCACAGAGCTTAAAGTTTGCAGAATAATAGAATAATAGAGTACAAATAACAAAGAGAGAAGCGCTAAGACTAAGGTCAAAGAGAAAAGTGAAGATAAGAATAAGAGATAAGAGAAGAAAATAACAAAAGAGAAATAATTGGATAAAAAGACTAAGAAGGCCAAAAACAGAAATAAGAGAAGAAGAAAAATCCTAGTAGTATCTCTGCAGTAGCGTGCCTCCTATCGGTCGACGGGCCGGTAGTTAAACGTAGACGGGGTCACGTGAGCTCAGCTGACGTCGGGCTGGGGAATTGAGGGACCCAGTAAACGGACGGAATTGGCAAATAAAACTAGGATTAAAACGCGAGTCGGGGACCGTGGAAAATGCGTGAATAAATTAATAAAAGGAGAAACCACGCTATAAAAATAAAAACCTCAAAATTAAAACAAGCCGCACACGAGACAATGAAAAAATAACTCATAATTTAAAAAACTCCTCAAACGAGACGATGAAAAAATAACTCATAATTTAAAATTCCGCACACGAGGCGATGAAAAAAATTTAATCAATTAAAATGCATAAAAAGGAGTGAAGAAAATATATAGAGTGTTGTTTGAAGAACAAGGAAACAGAGGGGAGACGCGCAGACTCATCTGTCTGTGTGTGTGTGTAAGTGTGTGTGTGTGTGTGTGTGTGTGTGTGTGTGTGTGTGTGTGTGTGTGTGTGTGTGTGTGTGTGTGTGTGTGAAACGAGTGAGGCTCATCTCTGTGTGTGAATAAGCGAGAAAAAGACACCTCGGGTGGAGGTTTTTGATCAAGTGTTTTGATCGGTACAACAACAAGCTGACACTGTTGGGTCGAGGCTTCTGTGTGCTCCAATCAACGCGCGGTCAGCATCTCGTGGAGTGAAAGGATTACAAAATAAAGTTTGAGGGCCGTATGAGAGTGGTATATGCTGAATGAGAGATGGAGCCCCTCGAGCAGAGTAATGTGATATATAAAACCGTGAAAAAACAATCAAATCGGGTAGTAGCGGTAATCAACCGAGTTTATGCGAGCGACGGAGCAAGAAGGAGAGAACTAGATGCGATGTTGATACAGCTGGTCGGAATAGATGAGAAATCCAGACAGCACCTCACGAAAATAGTGTGGGACAGAGTCAAGCAAATACAATTGGAGATGCAGGGACTCGCAGAAAAAATGGTGACATACAAGTCTTTCTTGGGCCGCAGACAAATTAAAAAGGACCAAAAGAAGTATGCAAGTGTCAAAAAAGCTTATGAAGAACTGGCACTCATTTGCCAGAGTGTGCAGGGGTTGAATCAGGAGGAGCACACAGGGAAACAACCTCCACCGTATGTGAGTTCTCAGACTTGTCCAACGGCGCCCCCTGCTGGAGTGTACCCAGTAATGCACGTGACATCAGGGACCGTACACATAGGGAATGAGAGCTTGAAAGATGTGGAAGAGGAGGCAGGTGATGAAGGAGGGATGAGACCAAGGATGGAAGCAGAATGAAGAAGAGACATTAGCCAGCAGCTGGCTGAACAGGACCAACGACCGAGACATTCTGGACAGAACCAACAACCTCTGAAAGGAGCCTCAGACTCAGGAGCGACTGGAAGAGAGAAAACACGAGCAGCAGAGGCAGGAACAAGCACTCAAGGTGTTAGGAGGAAAAAATCAGCTAAGACTCGAGTAGCAACTACAACAGAACAAACATCAGGCTGATTGACCAGGCAAGGTTTGCTCTGACTTTGTTCCTCAGACTGCATTCTGATCACATGTAATATCTGCATACTTTAACTTTGTCTCAATTAAATCTTTTATACTAAGGTGAAGTGCTCCTGAAATTCTGTGCTCGGGTCATTTGAACACACCAAACTCTTCAACATTCAAAAAAAACCCACATGAGAATAAAAACCATCTGGAGCTGAGACTCACCATG